CAATGATGCCAGCCTCTGAACATAAATTTTTTAACGGGAGTAAATTCGGACTTTTGAAATTAATTTTATAGTTTTTCCTTCATTTTTTGCTTAAAATGTTTCATTGCAAGTTTGTCAGTGTTCTCTTATAATTTGGGGGAAAATTATTGACATCTTTTAAAATAAGAACATTTTATTTCTTGTCATTCAAATTTTCTTATACTCTGTTGTTATTTTCTCTAAATTGGTAACATGTTTCTTATTAGAGGCAAATGTGGATGTTTGTAAATTAATTGCTATTGTGAATTAGAGTTCTTTTTCATTGCATTTACAGGTGATACTTGGGATGATAGGCTTTGTGCCTTGGAAACTTTTCTGGGAAAATTTATTTGGTATTTTGGCATCTTTTATAATTCTTCATTATGAAAGAATTTTTAAAGTAGTTTTCATAATGTAATATATGTCATAATTTTGTCTTTTGCTGTATTTATATGCTTTGTTTATTTTGGCTATTTAAGAAATTTTCACAACAAAGACTTGTAGAAAACAGAATTTTATAAAAATCATATAAATGCTTATTAAGATTTAAAATTTATTTTTAATACTATGTTCTAAAATTGTATATGTTGTGTGTGTATGTTTACGATATGGTTTGGTTGTATCCTCACCCAAATATATTGAATTGTAATTCCCATAATCCCCACATGTCGTGGGAAGGACCTGATGGGAAGTAATTGAATCATGGGAGTTGTTACCTTCATGCTGTTCTTGTGATAGTGAGTGAGTTCTCACAAGATCTGATGGTTTTGTAAGGGGCTTTTCTCCCTTTTGCTCTGTACTTCTCCTTCCTGCCATGATATGAAGAAGCACATGTTTGCTTCCTCTTCTGCCATCACTGTAAGTTTCCTGAGGCTTCCTAAGCCCTGCAGAACTGTGAGTCAATTAAACCTCTTTTCTTTATAAATTACCCAATCTTGGGTATTTCTTCATAGCGGCATGAGAATAGACAAATACAATTTTTCAGATTATCTAAAGTATAGGACATACATACACTAACCATGCTATTTCCTCACCTCCCCTAAACATCACAATGCATTCCTTGAATTAGAGATTAATGTATTCCTTGAAATATAAACTAATGCATTCCTTGAATTAGAAAATTTAAAAAGTAGTTAATGGGAACAGGACTTGGTATAATGACTATTGTTCACCATTAGTGTTGTATTTTCTTCTATCACAGTGTCAAGACACACACTTGGAAATTGAACAAGTATAACCGTTACTATGGAGCACTTGGTTTCATCCTTAGAATGAAAGTAGCTTCCAGAAGAAGGCTGGTTTCAGAAAGCCTGAAAGAGGTGGTACTAGCATGAATATGTTTCTCTGAAACTGAGAAATGTGTAACCTGATTGCACTCAGAATGAAAGCAATAAAACTTAGTAGCAAAATAATAGCCAGATTCACAGGTTTAGACTTTATCTTTTAACCCAAGGCTACTAGAGAAAGGTTAATGCTAATGAAGATAATCTCATAAACAGAACACTCAGAATAGAAATGGGGAAACTTAGAGAGCAAGCCCAAGGAAAACACTGCATTTCCTCATTGAACTCTTAATGTAATTCTATGAACATAGTATGCTAAGTACAGGAATGGATTGAAATAAGAATCAGTAAAGATGCTTGCACAGGAAATATCCCTGGTTGGGGCACACACACAGACACATTCATGCATACAAATATATCTTGGTAATTCTGCTTGTACTAGGCTAGAAAAGCATTTCTTTAACATTCAACATGGGCTTATGGAGCCAGATACCAAAAAACTTACAGAGTGAGAGGTTACACAGCCCTGAGATGTAAGATTTGCTAAGGAAAATCCAAATACAGATCTTTTTTCTTAAGTAACAATTTTAATAGTCTATGTTTTGTATTATAACACTTTTTGTATTATAGGATTACAATATTATTTTTTGTATTATAAAATTTTAAGATGTTAAAAAATAGCTATTAACCTGAAAGTAAGGTTGATTATAAAACACATTGCTTCCTCATCACCACTGATATTAAAATAATCAATAGACAGCACTGGCATTCATATTAAATCAAGTTAAACATAGGCACAATTTACCTCCTTTCTTCAGTTCTGCCAGTGTCACTAAGTTGGCTTTTCCAAAGTCTACATAACGTCACAAACTAAGATGAGACATTGGTCAGCCTTCCTTCAAGTACTCAGTGCAAAAATGTTTATTTTACATCTTTAAGTACAACTTTGATTTTGGGAAGACAAATGGAGAATTTGGGGGAGGGTTCTGTGTAAAGAAAAATATTTTTAAAACATACTTCATTTTAAGATTTTTAAGGAAAGCTATCCAAAAGTTATAGCACAATGATAGGCTGATACATTGTTTTGTCTAAATAAATCCATTTGCCGCAGCACTGATTCTAGGATATCTTCCAAAGCTACAGATCTTTGGTATTTCCCTTGGTGCACACATGTGCATCTGCTGTGCCAGTGTGCTGTACTGCTTTGACTCAAATGTCCTCCATATCCAGGCATTAAGTCACTATACTGGACATGCACCACTGGAATGCTGTGGCCTACATAACGTGTATGTGGTTTACATTTTCAGTAACTGGGAGGCAATTTAATTGTCTGACTCAATTACAGTAAGTAAGAGCCAGACTGCCAACTCTTCATTCACCTCACTGAAAACGAATGCCTCAAAGTCAAGCCAAATTCTCGAAGGAGAAGCTGGGTCAACAAAGCTGTTGCTGAGGCACGTGTGTTCCAGTCTGTATTTTGAGAAAATTGTTGGTTTTCCTTGATCCTTTATTTCCAACTCTGGATCTCCAAAGCTGGTCAAACTCTAGGATAAACCGTGCAATTGAGTTTGACTCATAGCTGAATGGGGATTCTATTTTGGGCAACTGCTACTTAGATTAAAGCCAAAAGAAATAGTACCCAGTAGGAGGAATCATAATGAAACTGGGTTTTGATTAAGATGGAAAGTGTACATTTTCCAAGCAGCATTGATATGCTAGAATTCCACTGTGGTCTTAATCTCTGGTGCAGAGGAGTAGCTTGGACTCTTGGGACTGGACTCTTGGGACTAGACTACTGAATGTCTTCTATGGTTAACTGCCTGAAGATTAGTTTGCCAAGTGACTCCATCTTTGACATGCCAAAACTGGCTTCTGACAAGAAGGTTGGGGTATGCCTCATCACAGAGCTGGCATGTGTCAAGAAACAGCCCAAGTGTCTACGAGAAACAACTCTTCCAACTCTGTTTCTAATGAGCTAAAGGAATGTGTACAAATCTCTTTGGGATTTGCCAAGCAGTAGGCGTTAGATTTTGTCATCCCTTCTTTGGAAACTATGTAAAAGATAATCAGCAGGGGTGGTGATCAAAGCTGCCATTCACTATGATAAGTCCTAGAGAAATTAAGAAAAATTCTAGTAAGAAAAGGAAAGCCATAGTGAGAGATCTGTGTTTTTTAATCTATCAACTCTGAAAGCAAGTAATTCTTCAATATTTATAGTAAATATGAGAAATCATATAAATTAATAGGCACTCCTCAGCAGTAAACCACTGACATATCTTAAAAGTTGTAATGATTATGATAGAAAATTGTTCTTCTTTTGCTCACAAGCTGAATTTATTCAGTTAAAGGAAGACTCAGAGTAGGGCAGAAGAGAAGGCCGGGAGAGAAAACTCTGACCTGAGACAAAAGCTATTTTGTTTTCATTTTTACATGTATTTTATTTGATAAAATACGAATAACATAAAATTTATCATCTTAACCTTTTTTAACGTGTGCAGTTGAGTAGTGTTAAGTACATTCACATTATTATACAAACACACTCCAGAGCTCTTTATTTTGGAAAACGAAACGTTTTATCCATTAAACAACAACTCCCTGATGTTTTGTTTTCAAATATTTTAGAAATCATTATGCTTATGAGTACAGAACAAATAATTTCTATTTTTTAACCCACGAAGATACCAACAGGTACTGTGGAAGGCTTTTTGCTTACTACCTGCTCAATGTATTTGAGGGAGTTAAAACACTTCCAAATGTAAGTCCAACTAGTTCGTTTTTTGTTTCTATTTTATTAGTGTCTTTAGGATGATATGGCTATGTTTGAAAGATCGATGGATCAGGAATTATTATTTCAGTCCCATGACAGTATGCTTTTTCAATAAATACAATATAAAGACGTTGTAATGACATGAGATAAACTCTTTAACTGATTATGGCATTATACATCACCATCAAGGGATTAAAAGACAGTCTATTTTATAAACATAATGTTAATCAACAGTGTCTGGCTCTTTCAAAGTCTTCACTTGCTTTCCACACAGTACATTTTAAAAATAGTATCTCATAATTTTCTAATAACTAATTCATTAAGAAATTTTCTTTTGGAAATCTTATACCTTGAAAGATACTCTTTTAAAAAATGGTTCACATAGTTGTTGGGGCTGGTAAGGATAGACAAGTGTGGTGGAGGATAGTGGCCCCGGCATAGGATCTAAATAGATTTGGGCCCAGGCTCTGCCACTTTGTAACTGTTGGTTATATCTTTCCTTTTCTACTCAGTTTATCTACAAAATGAAAAAAAAAATGAAATAACGCATGTAAAGTTCAGCATAGTGCATGACACATAGGAAACAGTTAATAGAAGTCACTGATTATTACTACTGTCCTAAAAATAAGAAAAATGGGTACATACATATACACAGTGTCCTTTATTCCATTTACCAATGTCCGAGATTGAAGTATTTCTTTAAATTATGATGCAAAGACCTCCAGTATCTTTGTTCTTAGACACAGTCTAGAAAACACTTGGCAAGTAAAATGTGGAACCACCTGTGGTTCCTAGTTTCCTACTTCCCAGAAGACTCCATTCTCCTCACTGCTGAGGGCTAATATTTTAAATACAAATAGTATCAGCTTCCTCTTACTCTATTTTATTAATTATTTTCCTTCTATTCCCTTCCTCTCTATTCTCCTCTCTAGAAAGAAGATTGAGATGTGTTGGCGGGCTTCTCAAGATCCCTATCGGTGGCAGAAGGCTGACATGAGTTGTCCGTAGTCCAGGTACACTGAGTAGGACTGTAAAATCTGTTCTAAGAGCTGCCAATCATTCTTCATCCTAATGTTAAGATGAAAATGTTTTTGGAGGAATATACTTTAAATTCTGGGTGGTAACAACATCTTTTAAAAAGATTATTTGTGTATTTTTAAAATTTTGGCAACAAATATGTCACTTCTATAACCAGAAATAATAAACATTTAAAGAAAAGAAAGAAAGAAATTGATAGTATGATTAAGAGAGTGCTCATCCAGGGAAGGAATCATTTGTTCACTTTCTGCTGTTTCTACCACAATTTTTAAGAATCTTGACTACATGGAGATGTAAATGACTTGGACATCTGGGTTACGCATTTTATTGTTCTTGTCATTCCTCGTGACATTTCTGACAACTTCCCTTAGGCATAAAAAATTCTATGAAGTACACTGACAAATGACATAGCTATACACACACACACACACAAACACACACATATATATGATTGTTCAAATATATATATATTTATTTATTTATTTATATTTCCTTCCTGGAGTTTCTACAACTTGTAAATTAAATTGAAAATGTACAGATTATTTCCTTTATTTGTCTGCTTTTTGGCCTGAGAGGTTTTCTCACATGTTTACTTTTTCCTTCTATTCATATGACGTTTGAGAATGTTGCATGCTTAGGCTTGTATCTTATCTTCTACAGAAGCCTTTGGTATGTCAGATAAATTTCTCTTGCTCACCTGGAATATATTTCAGTGGCATGACCCATTGATGTATACAGTTAAAGAGTAAACATAGTGGCACTCAAAGCATTTTCTGAAAACAACATGTTGAAAATGAAATTGATAATATATTTTAAAATTTACTTAGAAGAGCAATATCTCTGGTACATGGACATATTTTTCTTGCGTGGATTTTTTCTAAATTTCTGTATATCTATTTTAAGACATTAGAACATTTACAACTTCCTTAGTGAGAAAAAAGGTAATTTCATATACCACTTATTCCATATGCCTCTGTTATGTCAAAATCTCTAACATTTTATTTTTTTGGTCCGGTCGGCTATGTCAGGAAACACATCAGTTCACGACACGGGCACAATCCTTGAGTCTATTTTCTTGTACTGCTTTTAATTGTTTTTTTTTTCCCCCTTTGCGAGTCAAGGACATCAGTTTCAATAAGCCTCGTGTATCAGGAAGCGTGTGGGCCACCTAATCACACAGACTTATAGAAAGCAGCATAATACATTATGGGCCAGGAACTTCAGCTTCTGGAACACTTCTTCCCCAAAATTCCTTACATGAAACCTGCTCTGCCAGACCAAGGCTAAGTTATTACCCACAACACTTGGTGGAGTCCCTCTTCTCATGAGGCAATTTTATCTCAAAATCATTTTTTTGCAAAAAAATGAATAGCCTTACTCATAAATATGAGTAACAACTGTCATACTCAATTTCTAAAAATTTTGAAAAGAAATTAAACAGAATAGAGGAGATTTGCAGTAGGAAAACTTTGATGAGTAGCTCTTGAAATAAGTAGGAAAGAGTCTGCTCTATTTACAGAGACTTTCCAAGTCCACAGAGGCACATATTGAATATATTATAGACCATTTTCTCCTCCTTTAATATGTAAGATGCTACTTTTTTTCTTAGATTCTCTGAATTGTTAATGTACTGATTGTTCATACTTTGGCTGCCTCGTGCATAAAAAATAAGCCTCATCATGATTTTTCAGAGAAGGTCTCTTTAATCTTACCTGTATATGGCGTGTGTCATTGTATTGATCATTTCTGATGTGAAAAGACAGGACACCACACACTTTCAAACTCTATTTGGCGAATCTCCAGAAGTGAGTGATGAGTTCTTATGAAAATGCAAAATTAATTAAAACAATTACATTTGTTGGGTATTTAGACCTTCATATATATGTGTGTGTGTATATATGTATATGTATGTTACAGTATTTAGCATATTAAAATGCTGTGATTATTTTATTACATTTTATTAATTTTTTACAGCATAATATATAATTATTCTCCCCTCTATGTTAGCTTGTTGTTCCATGATGATTTTATACCATATTAGATTATATTATAACACTTCTTTACACGAACCGAGATTATCTACAATGCAATGACTGGGTCTTACTCTTCCTTGGCTTTGGAGTGTTTTGCATGATTATTGGCACATAGTAGACAGCCAATGTACACTAGAGTTAAGTGAGTGAAGAACAGATAAATGGTTAAATGGATGGTGGGCAGTCATAAGCATATATTCGATATTATAATATTGTCTGTAAAACAAATGTAAGAGGATTAACTGGATTTTTCCTATAGAGCTCATTAGAATTAAGCATGACGTAAATAGAATGATTAATACTACACAACAGGGTTTCTCATCAGTGGCAATGTGAACAATTTGGGTGGGATAATTCTTCATTGTGTGTGCTATCCTATGAATTATAGGATATACAGCAGCATCTCTGGCCACTTCCCAGTAGATGCCAATAGCAATCCTACTCGCTCCAGCTCTGAAAACCAGAAATGATTCCAGACATTGCCAACTAGCTGTGAGGCAGGGAGGGACAAAATCTCCTTCGATGAAGAAGCTCTGTATATAGTGTCTGATTTCGGGATAGTATTACACATTTGTATTACATTTTCTTTTTCCAAAATGTAAATACATAATTGAGCAGGGAAATAAAGGGAATAGTAATGACATTTTCTGCCCAGATTGGGCAAAATGGAAAGCAATCTTTGTCTTCCAGAAAAATTGTTTCAAGAAATGTTATTTATTCTGGTAAGCTGCATATTTTCAGTCTGTAAAGTAAAAATAAATCTCTAGATGTCAAAATCCTAGTGCTTTTGGGCTCTCCAATGTGGTTTCCATGGGCTCTCCATGTGGTTTCCTCCTACAACGTATAAATTCCCACCTCTGTTGGAAGAGCCCTACACTGCCTTCTTGAAGGTTTTATATTTGACTTCTATTTTAGAACTGATCTGGCAATTTTCCTAATTAAATATACCCATCATCCAAATTCTGCAGGATTTGTCTGTATTTTGTTTCCTTCTACAGGCTGTACAAAATCTGAGTCCTGAACTCCTTAGTCTGTACATAAAATTTAATTAAATCTAATAATCATTTTACTGACATGTTTCCAAAACACTTGCATTAAAAAAGAAATTTCGTCACTGAAGAGTCAGGTAAGATAAATTCTATGTATAAATGAAGAATAAGGAAATGGAGACGTAGATAATTAGGAAACTGTGAGCATATTACTGATGGAACTAGAAGTAAATCTAATGCCTTCAGTCCCAATTCCAAACTCTGAACTTGGAACTTCCACATATGTAAGAATGGCCTTGGGAGCTTGTTAAAAATGCACATTTTATGCAGCCTATGCAGATCTTCTGCTTCTGTGGGTGTCTGTCCAAGAATTTCCTTTTTTACAATATTTATTTATTTATTTTTAGTATCTTAAGTGCCCAAGATTGCCATCATTGTACTGGTCTAGATCATGGTCCACCTTTTACAGGACTGTTCTGATTATTTTGTTTTTTCCCTTTTTTCCAGTTTCCATTCTTCCCTCCCTTTCCCTACCATGCACATCCATCTTAATATGTTTCATGCATGTTCTTAGATATCTGTGCAACTTTGAAAATCTATAGGTTGTTTTGACTGTACCTGTGTTTTTAATTTTCAAAAATGGCATTTGAAAATACCACAGATCACTTTATGGCTTTAATTTTTTATCAGCACTACATTATTAATATTTATTCACATTGCTATGTACATTTAGTTCTTTTGAGGGCATAGTTTTTGCATAGTATACACTCAACACGTTGCCTTGTTCATTTCCTTGAAATGGACACCTGAATTATTTCCATGTCCCAGTTGCCATACTCAGGGTAATGTTGAACACCATCAAATTCCTTGATTGGCTTGTGAGAAAGTGTCTCTCCTGAAGACTTGTTTCACTGGGTCATAAGATAATATATAACAAAATTTGACTCATTACATTCAGAATGCTGGCAGGGAAGGATATATTCATACACACCACTATGGTGGTACACTTCAACTCTCATCCCCGACCCCACATATTCTCGCCAATATTTGGCACTATCTTACCTCAATCTTTGCCAATACCACTAGTATTAAGCGCATCTTTTGCCTATATTTTTAGTAAAAACTGTATCATCCTGTGAGAATTCTAATATTGGGCATCTTTCCATATTTTTTTTGGACATTTGTATTCTCTATTCTGGTAACCAGCTATTGTTTCCTCAGTTTTATTTTGTTTATTTATTTTCATGTTTATTTCTTATATCTTGTAAATCAAATATCTCTCAGTTTTAGACATTGTGAATGATTTCTGACAGATTGTTAGCAGGCAGTTAATATTTTTGTAAGAAAATTCGGTTTTAATAATATCACATCTATTAATTCATACCTCTAATCTATTTGGTATTTAGCTTTGTGTATATTGTAATGTAGAGATTCAACTATATTTTTTCTCTTTCAAGTTTGCTGATATGTGGTGCCCTCTGTATGATAAAGTTCCTATATATCCATAAACCTATTTCTGGGTCATATTCAGTTCCATGGATCTATTGATATAATCCTCTACCATTACCACAATGACTTATTTTCTTGCTCTTTGTTTCTTGTCTTTGTCTCTCCTTTCTTCCTTTCCTCCCTCCCTTCCTCCCTCCCTTCCTTCCTCCCTTCCTTCCTCCCTTCCCTTTCTTCCTTCTTCTTTCTCTTCTGTTTTTCTTTCTCACTTTCTTTCTTTTCTCCTCCATTCCTTTTCTTCCTTCCTGTTAAAATTTTCATCACTGTTCTTTAAAAAAATTCAATCACTATAGTTTTGTAGCATGTCTATTGTAACTTATCAGTCAGTGTTCTCTAGAGAAACAAAACCAATAAGAGAGGTAGGTAGGTAGGGAGGGAGATAGATAGATAGATAGATAGATAGATAGATAGATAGATAGATAGATAATACATACATACATACATATA